TTTATATTATACACCAAATTTTATTATGATGTTTTAAAGTTATATGTTCAAACTCTATTGAGATATGTGAATTATTTTAGAACAAGAACGAGTAGTACTGCGAATAGTTGAACCAGAAAATATTTGAATACGGATTGTATAAGCTTCTGCAAACTCCTATGAGTGAAAATTTATGAGTTAATGTTATGTTTTTCTTATAAAAAAATTTTACTTTGTAAATAATTTACACTAAGTTATAATATTTATATAGATCCATCATCAATCACTAAAATTGTTTTATTTGATTTAATAGATGAAATTTCTCTAATCTATGTTTCTGTATTCAAAATTGTATTTTCTGAGAAAAATATTTGATAGTGAATAATATAGTTCTAATAAGAATAATTAATGATATAACAATTATATATTCAATTCATAAATGGTGTTGACTGCATCGATAAAAAATAGTTCTTCTAAAAATATAATGTTTCTAACAAAAAAAGTGATTAAAGAATTTATTCTGGCAGAGTAAGTTATACTATTAAATTTACTACTAATTCGGTAATATTTAATTGCGATACTATTTTTCAAAAATATACAACTGAAACTGGATGATATTTTCACATTTATATTAAAGTTTGCATAAAGAAAACCATATTTTTACCAACACTATCGAATTTGAGAAAAAAATATATCCCAATTTTCAAATGAAAAAATTAGTCAATATTTTTAATAGTCTATCATAATTATTTTGAAAACTCTGCGTTCGATAGATTTGTTCTACATGTTGAAAACTTTTCTATGACTCATCAATGTCAGTTACTGTTAATTAGAAAACGAGATCAAAGATTTTCATTTCTTTTTTCAAATGATTTAAAACTTTTTGTTTTGTCGAGCATCTTCGCTGATTTTATAAATAATTTTAGGATCGTTATTTAATAATTTGTTTAATAGATTTTATTCTGTTAAATATTAGGTTGAGGAAAAAGTTCGTGCGCCGTGTTAATGTGATGTAGTGACTAAGCAGTGACGTGTCTGTCTACATGGCCGTCTCTATCTATCTATTGTTCAGTAGTGCATGTACCTTCTAGAACTTTCTATGCACTCTACCCGGACATTTGACATGTTATTGCGTAATGTTATTGCGCAATTTTCATACTATATATACCGGTGTTTTCTGTTTGTCACTGTCATTTTCCCAATCTATGACCCAGCGTTCACTTGTAAATAAACCGGCTCTTCTGAATCGTGTTATTCTTCTGCTCGACATCAATCTCGCCCTGAAGACGTGACAGTTGAAATAATGATTTTTTATATATTTTTTTTTTGTGTTTTTGATCTGGTTTTGTGGCTATTACGAAAATTTATTGATTTTTTAAGATGTCTGATTACGAAATCACAAATTTTGAGCTTCGCGTATTGCTGCGTCATTATTGGAGAAAGAATTTGGATGCAAAAGCAGCTCCCAAAGCAATTTGCGACGTTGATGGTGAAGGTACGGTGGCACCGCGAACTGCACAGAAATGGTTCAAGCGTTTCAATGAAGGCGATTTTGATCTTGACGACAGGCCACGTTCCGGACGACCAACGGTTTTGGACGAAGGGACTTGCAAGCCGCTTTGGATGTTGAGCCGTCATCAAGCACACGCGAATTGGCTGAAGAACTTGGTGTCGATCAGAAGACAGTTTGGAATCATCTCAAGCAACTTGACTTTGTCCACAAAAAGCCACGACAAGATTCACACGAGTTGACCGAAGCACAAGCCGCCAAACGAGCCGAAATTTGCCGCCAATTGCTCAACAATCCGTTGGATGACCGTTTTTGGAAGCGAATTGTGACATCAGACGAGAAGTGGGTCTACCTGGTCAATCACGATCGAAGCAAGCGTTGGGTCCCAAAAGGTCAAACTCCTCCATCCGTTCCGAAGCAAAATCAATTTGGAAAGAAGATCATGATTTGCGTTTGGTGGAACTTCGAAAGAATCTTGCATTTTGAACTTGTGCCGAATGGTGGCGCCATCAACGCTGAACTTTACTGCGAGTAACTTGATCGAGTCTACGATGCACTGGTTGATAAGTACCCAAGTCTTGTTCGTCGAAAACGCGCTTTGTTTCAACAAGACAATGCAAAGCCGCATACCGCCAGAAACACCAGCAAGAAGTTTGAAGAATTGGACGGTGTCGAAGTTCTGCCGCATCCAGCCTATAGTCCAGACGTTGCTCCATCTGACTACGGTCTCTTCCGATCAATGCAGCACTTTATGAAAGGTCGCCGATTTGAGTCCTTCGATGAAGTTGAAGAAGCATGTCAAGAATTTTTCGATTCAAAGCCGAAGGAGTGGTACTTTGACCAAATCCGAAAGTTTGCAGATCGTTGGCAGAAGGTCGTGGACAATGACGGTCTTTATTTTGAAGAATAGTTGTTGTTGTTTTTGAATAAATTCATGCATAAAAAATCATTATTTTAACACGGCGCACGAACTTTTTCCTCAACCTAATATTTTGAATGCATAATATCAGTTTACACATGATTATATACTTCAAAAGTAACAAATACACAGAGAAGAATTATAGCAAAAAAAAAGTACAAGAAGAAGAAGAAGCATGTAGAACATAAGTATTGGTGGAACGATTATCGCTGTTGATCTATGTTGGAAAAATCAAAAACCAAATTAATTGGATATGATCTTCGAGTTCGTTGAAGATAAGCTCGAATAGATTCTTCGAATTCGAATCGTCATGTATTATATAGTATCACTTCAAGCTCTGCAGTATCAGCCATTCCAAAATGAATCGGCACATTTGGTATCAACATACCACCTCGCAAGCGTTGTTGTCATCGCTAGAATACAACAGTAGAAATGTCGAGAAAGATGTTTTTTTTCATTACTTCATTTGGTGACTGTTGAAAATATTGTGTACGTTACAGTAAGTTTGGATAATTTGTTATTGTAATGACGAAATGTTGATTTCGTCTTGTGTTTGTTGATTCAACATTAAATTCTGATGCATTCGAAGTAGAAGCCGTTACAAGTCAGTGATAATCTACAAGAAATAAACTCAAATAGATATAATTCTAGGAGAAAGTTTCTGATTTGTTGTCTATTTACTTAAAGTAGACAACATCTCATAAATTAGATCACACTTCATTTCAATGTATTCTAATAATATATACAAAAAACATAGAAAAAAGAAAACAAGAATACAAAATACAAGAACTATCGTTTTTAGATTGAACAATGCTGAATACAATTGTATTTCATAGATCATAATATTCATGTATACATATACTTGCAGAAATAAATACAAGAAAAAAGTAACGTATACTATTAACAAATGAAACGAAAAACAATACCAATGAAGTTATAGGTTATTCAGATTATAACTGTTCTGTATTAATGTCAGACATATCAAAGACATAATGAATATGATGTGATCGACGAGTTCTTGTAAGATAATGATTTGCTGCTTCTCTTAATTAGACTCGTAAGAGATTATTGAGTATTTGTTCACGATTATTGCTACTATTATTATTATTGCTATTTACTGCTGCATTATTTGTAGCACTATTATGTGCTGAAACTGTAGTTGTTTGTATATTTTTCTGGAATTAGAAACAATCAAAGTAAAATATATTTATCATCATTCTTTCTTTTTTTAATATGAGTTATCAATATAATATATTCATATATGAAACCTTTTTTTTGAAAATATAATAAAATCTTTAAATTAATATCTTTATTATACCTGTGGTTGAAATATTCGAGTTTGACGTAATAATTCAGGATTATTTGTTAGAATAATAATAAATTGTCGATGTGGAACACTTGCTGATCGATGTGTATGTAATGGTACAACTATTTGTATAGGTCTTGTTGGACGTGTACTCGATGTTCGATGATGATGATGTGAGGAAAACATCTATAAATTGATATAATTATCTAAAATATAAATAAGTAAAAGTTTCAAGA